ATATTAATCGCATACAGATGAGATGATTGATCGAACGGATTCTTCCCTTCGTTGCCCAGCGATATCCCCACTAGCGTGTGTTCGTGAGATGTACCACGGCGGTTAGCGCGTGCATGCTCTTTCGAGAATTCGGCGGAAGAAGCGTAAGGATATGGATGGAACATTGGGCACGTCGGTGTGGCGCCTTGACGGCATAGCGCTTTGTATCGAGAAGCTGCTAGAAGGTTCCGTGGCACATGTGACGCCACACAGACATCTATCGTACTCAGATCACACTCTTCACTGCATAGAGAGTGGGGTTCAAAACCTTTTCAAGGACCATGGGTCACTAAGTCAGTCAGTCTGAGAATAACTAGCCAACTGTCTACATTCCACGACGCTCGCTTATATTTCCTGTAATAATTGTTTAATAAATATCACATGATATTATTTCAACACAAACATCGTGTCTTCCACAGATTATTAATCTTAATTCCGAGATTAAACTCTAACACACTTAGTTGCCAATAGTTACAAATTAACTCGAGGTCGCTGCGAATTCTCGTGTAATTAATAGATTGAAAAACCAGCTCGCATAATTACGTAATACGAGCAGTACCAATGTGCAAGCGGTATTATGCGACTGCAAGAGGTTTGGTAATGTTGGACGAGAAGAAACGAGAAGGCAGGAGAATGGCGTGTCTGACTACGCCAGTTCCACTTACTGTCGTTCCACTTACAGACGTTTCGCTAGCTGTTGCAAGTAGGTTCGGTCCGAACTCTGATCGATGAAACTCGCAGAATCTTTGCTCTTTCCCTAATCATTTTCAAGCGTCAATTTCGCCAAGATTCCACAATTCCATTGTCGGTGTTTCGAAATGATCTATATACTATATACACAGTGTGCTGCGAATTCTCGATTAAGGAGCAACCGGTCATCAGGTCAAACCGATCGATCGATATCGCGTACCTCGAATGAATTAACGCTCAAGGTGGAGGAGATTTAATAGATCGAGTGTTATAGTAATCTGGCACTGTATTTGCACTTGTTGTATAAAAGTAAAGTGTCATGTTACGAACACGGCGGTGGTAAGATCTTGTTGAGAGTGAGAAGAATTTCACCCGCACGGTACGATGTCTAATAATGAACTATCCTCCTACGTTGCTGACTCTCCCTACCAGCCGTTAGGTTTCGTCTATCCATCGTGCCCTTCCGACTGGTCTTTTCCCGGAGTTTTTTACCTGACCTCTGAGTCATTAGGTTTACAGCTCGGAGAGTGTAATTCGGAATTTCCTAAAGAAGGGAATAGGCCTGTCCGTGCCATAAACGGACGGCCACTCAAAATTCCGAACACAGTGAGAGTGACATCTGAATAAACGCTGAGAAAGAAAATTTACGTAATAGCTGTAGTAACTTATGGATCTTAGAGTAAGGACAAGTAATGATGTTTTATTTAGAGTTTAGTGTAGTTTAATAAGCGATACTCAATAACAAAAGGACCGATTACAATGTCGTCGTACGTCTTATTATCATACTATCCCACTCCCCCACTTACACTCTCTGACTTCTCGATTCACACTCCGTGACCTCTCAACTCACACTGCGCTTCTCAACTAACATTCTGACCGTTCTAGCATCCCTTTGTCTTTTCCTAGGCCCGGCACACACGTGTTCCGCAGGCCAGGGTTACGTAGGCCTTTTCTACGAAACTATACACTTGAAAAGACCGATGAAACGTTGATAGACCCGACGGCGCCTCGACTCTCGCGACATTGTTCATGGTTACCTCGATGCTTCTTAGGCCCTTTTCCCCGATACTACATAGCCATTACGCGTATGTTGAATAAATTAAAAATCGATCGAAAGGGTATCAAGCGCAAATTAATAGTAAACACATAGATAAGAGAATATTACTCGAACCATATTTCTGAATCTGACCGTGACTCTATAGGAAAGAAAGAAAGAAGAAAAACCCTTTCTTCGTTGCGACGTTGAAACGATAAAACGATGGAAATATTCAGAACCAGCTAATAATTGTTATCGCGATTTAAACGAATAACGCGTATCGCCCAATCGTTAACTGGTCCGATTTAACCTACCATTTCTTGTAACAACGATCCGTCTGATGACGATCGATCGTCAGACGTTTGTATCCGAAACCGTGCAGAAACTGAGAACGAGATACGTATGCGGGGCATTGTTAAAACATTCAGTCGAAACAAGCTGGCAAGTGAGTGAAAAATGGCGACTCGGGGGATCGAGGGTGCTACAAATTGGCCACTTACGTTTCCGACAATTCCGCTGGCATTACTCTCCCCGAACGTGTACGGCAATTTCGGCCAAGCTGGACGGATGTGCACGTTCGTATCACGTTCCTTGCTGTTTTCCACACCGAAAACGCGATCCCCATCGCAACCACCGTTTTCTTATCCGACTTTAATCGACCTGGCCCCCGCGATCCGAGCTTCTCCAATCGTTGGACAATTAATGGCTCCCAGTCGAGTCGTTCGTGGTTGCAATTTGCGAGGCAGAACGGCGAAATCGAAACCGTGCATTTAGAAATTGATCGTAACAGCTTGCAGCGATTGTAGTTACCGCTCGGTCCGTTCGGACGCAAGCCACTTTGATTACTTCGCGTTTGTTGGGACAGTTGCGATGTTTATCTTCGCGGAGTCTCCAAGTCGCACGATTATGGCTGACGGTACGTGAACTTAGTGAAAAATCGTACGTAGCAGGTTGTTTCTTTGTTCCTTAAGAGCTTCCTTCGTTTTACAAGGAAGTAATGGACGCACGATAGCTTTTGTTTTATATTATTTTATTGGATTATTCATTTTATTGAATAACGTCCTGTCGATCATGTACTTCAGCTGTGTCCGGAACTAGCCACGTTCAAGTATGCTCGATGAATTTTCAAACTCGATTGCCTCGAAAAGGAAGCATCGTACGAACAAAATCTTGTTAATTTGTATTTTCTTATTTTTTCGCAAAGAATCCTTACGCCCTGTACAAGCTCGCGTTAGGTTGTCCGGAAAGTTTCTTTCGTTTTATGAGGAAATAATAGACGCACTACGTTTTTTATTTTATATTATTTCGTCGAATCACGTACGATCCATCTTTGTCTGTTGAGATAAACACCGCGACATTTCACACACTTGGTTTCACGTTTGTACGAAGGTGCACTGTTGTAGAAAACACGTTTGCGAAAGAAAGACACTTCTCGGACAACCTAATACGCGTTGTTCAGCTGCACCCTGTACAACGCGAATGTTAGGAACGTCGACGAGTGTCGGGGGAATTTTTCAGATTTTTTTAATCACCTAACATAGTACAAAAACTAGACAAAAGTACTTTTGTACTCTGCTCGGTTCGCAGAGTACAAAAAGAGAGTACAAAAACCTGCGGAGAGTCGAGGCTATAAGTTCGTCCCAGTTGCGTGATACACCCTGTTTAGAAGCAACTTTTCTCCTCGAGGAAGATCGAAAGAATAGATTCCAGCGTGCTTGGTCCCCAGATGCAAACTCTGAACATCAGTTTCCAAGCGATTCGCGGATTGTTAGCTCACAGGTGATCGCTTTTCTCGCGCGATAGGTGGAAAACCCGAAGGCCGTTTTTCATTCAGCGGCCTTTCTTATGCATAATGGATCAACTCTCAGGAAGGATCGCGAGAAAAGTATAATTGTCGGCGCGATTGCTCGCGAGGAAAATGGGGTCTAATACCGTTTAAAATTATCTATTCTCGAAAGTAGAAACCAGGAGATTCGTCGCCAGCTGCAAATCGTGCATTGACAGATAATTGGTGAAACGTGCGAGTAATTGTTCCGCTTTCTTTGCTTGTGGAAGTTCTCGTTGCAGAGTCGCATACGTGTACGTCGCGTTGGAAGGTTAGAAAAATTGTCAAAATTATCTGAAAGACAAATTTAGTATTATTTAACTTAATTTAATATTTAATATTAATTGCAAGTTTTGCTCGACTTTAGCACGTGTCTTGAACACGTGTCCTATATTCAAATGTTATTATTCTTTGTTATTATTACTCATAGCATAAAAGATATGCATGAGATTTTGCTAAGGAATAATCAAAAGAACCTGTTTTACGTATACAACATTTATGTATACGGTTATGTATGTGTACATTTTGAGCAAAATTTTGCTAATGATAGAAGAATATTTCTTGGATGATAGAATTGGGACAAAATTTGCTTGTGTGGAATTTATATTTTCATTAGGTTATTACAGTATACTAATTACTTTGTAAATTGTTAAACATTCGTGCAATGTTCTCTGTCAAATATTTTTTTATTTTAGCATATGTATACATATATATTTTATATTTTTATTATAATGCATGGCGCAAAACATAAATTCTACGCTACACGAATTCCGTATCGTACAAGATTTATGATTCATAGATAATACGAAAACATGTTATTTATTGCAAAAGATAGTACGGATGCTATTGTAATTCTTCATAGCATTATGCAAAATATATCGCGTACAAAATGCAAACAAATTCATATTTATATATTCACCAATATATTATTAAAAATTTATGAATTTCTTGTTAAATGTGCATTTACCAATCTATATTTATCGACAGCAATATTTTACAGCGAAATACAGATATTTTAAACCATAGTTTTATGTTGGAATTAATTTCAAACTTAGCAAATATCATCGATCTCGGTTGTTTAATCGTTGTATTTCAAATTTAATGATAAACCTAGTGCGAAATACGTAGAAATCGTTACTTCGTCTAAAATAGTACTACTTTTTAAAGTTCTAAAACTAATTAACAGTCTGTTATATTCTGCGAAAATTAGACTCGTTCGTCGTATTTGAGATCATTATTTAAGCATAATCGACGCTATCTTTAATATTTCAATTTCATTAATGAAAATTAACATTCATTGACGTCAACGTGTATCATTTAATTCCAATATTTATGTGCGCGTCATTCTGAAACGTGACGTGGATAGAGCAAGAGATAGTAGCGAAGCTAGCACATAGCCAAGAAATCAGTGACAAGTGAAAATTGGTCGGCATTTCCGCGTTCCAAGTTCCGCCCACATTGTCCTGTCTAACAACAGATTCGCCGTGTAAAACTTTGTCAAAGATCTGGACCTAACAGTTGCCCGGCTGTCAAAGCCATTGATTACGTGCAGCATACTGTGAGTTTATACGTCGATATCTATCGAGGACGAACGAGTAGGAAGACGCGCAAGTACGTGCTGTATGTACGAGAGTTAAAAGTTGATTTATATAATTATAGCTTCTAAATGTAACGATAACAGGATGAAACGAAAGCGGAAAATAAAGGGGAAGCAAGGAAATCAGAGGAGAAATGCTCTACAAACAATTTTACGTGGAATGTTACTTCTATTCGACGCTATAAATCAGAGGGATCCAATTATTCCGCATAAAACTCGTTCAACATCGTTAACCACGTCTCTGCATCCTCCTGCGCATTCTTCCGTTAATTAAAATTATTTTCGACAGCCTGACATTTTTCAATTATCCTACACCTCCACTTTCAATTTATCTGGAAAAAAAAATACAGAACGAATAGGGAAGGAAGAAAAGAACAAAGGGAAAGAAACAAAAGAACAAGCTTCCAGCCGAGCTGTCTATAAAAATGAACTTTAAATCGTTACTCGTCGGTGTCTTTCTCTCTGTTTCAATTTACCCAGATTCGCCAAGTGTAAAGATGAGAGACGAAACGATTCGATCGCGTCAGAGGCGGCTATGCACGTGCACAGATACCGGCATTAATATTCGGACACGGGGCCATCTCCGAAGAGTGATATTTTTAAGATTTCGATATCTCGTCGAATGTTCTCAGAACGCAAGAAAAATGGCTGCAATGCAGCAGAAACGTGAGTGGAATATTTCAGGAATTTGCGAGTTACACTCGGCGTTCGATTAAATTTCACTTAATTACGATATTATGCAGATCGTGAAAGTTCCTGGAATCGAACGTTTCCAGCAGCTAATCCAAACAAAGTGTTCGTACATTAGATATTCTAATTCTAAATTATTCGGATGACCTAGATGGGAACAGGCTAGCAAGAAATCATCGTTATTTTCTCAATTAGAAGAGGTTTCAATTTAGAACGGTGCGCGAAAAGTTTCAAGCTTTTAGAAAGCTTTCGAGTAATCTAGAAAATATATTCATCTAAATCTACTTTTAGATCGTTGATAAGACCGCACCATTTCAACTCGAACAAACGGAGTCCGATATTTTCGAGGTACACGATCTTCAATGGAATCTTATACGTGTTTTTTGAAATACACCAGTCGATGTCATACGTCATTCGCTATACTAAGTTATTAAACTATCTTTTTAACAAAGAGGCAATAGTTTACTTTAACTACCATATTATCAAGTAGAACTCAATTTTGCACATCGGTCGTTCCAACTTCTGTTTCAACGAAGCCAGTTCTTTTCTTTTTTTTTTTTTTCTTTTTCTATCAAACTGTACGTTTCACTTTGAAAGTTCGCTGAAATTTTCGAGAATCACGCGAAGATTAAACGATATACCCGAACCTAATTAATTAATACGCGAACTAACTACACCGATAGATAAGACAATGGTGTGCCCGGCTACTTCTCGCAACCACGCGCTAGTTTCTCATGCAACCGAACGCTTACCTCTGACCAACGTAAGAATCCCAAGAGGCATCACGAGCACAGCGACCAACAGATCCGTGATCGCCAGGCTCATCAGGAAGTAATTGGTGACGTTTTGAAGCCGCCTTTCCCTGGCGATAGCCAGGCAGACCAAAATATTGCCAGCAGCGGTGCCCAGGACCAAGACCAGGGCTAACATAGCCCACCAATTATTCAGACCGTCGACGACGACGTCCAGATCTGTTCCGTTCACCGGTTCACCGTCCAAATCGGTGTCGTTGAGTACTCCAGGCACGGCGAATCGGGAACCTTCGCAGAGCACGCCGCTGTCGTTGGCGAACAGTAGAAGATCCTCGTAGCAGGTATCGACCACGGCCTCGTAAGGATCCGCGCGACCGATCGTTGGAGTCGACGAGCCGATCATCGCTGAAAACGGCTGATCTAGGAATTTCTTGCCTCTACTTGCTGCACGACACCGCTGGCATCTGCGACCGCGTCTTCCTGCTTCTCCGTCTTCTTTGGCTAATCCATCGGATCGTGCACGTGCTGATTTCTCTAGAGGGATGTTTGTTTTCTTTCGTTAGTCTTCGCCAATTTTCAACGTCGTCTCTATCTCTAGTTTTTGAATAAATTTATGAAAATCGATGCGTTCTTCTTGGATCACCATTTTCTGCGGATGGTGATGACTCGGTTTTCAAGTTGATCGTGATATCGGTTCGGTCGTAACAGGTAGAACCTCGATGCACGTTTATTTATGAATTACTATTAGCCGATCGTCGCGCGTTTTATGGCAGATTTGACGGTGCAGAAATGTACGCGCGTAGCATGGACAGATAGAGGAGATATTGGAACGTAGGCGTCATTTCGTCGTTTTTTTTTTCGAAACAAACGAACAGTTATTCCGAAGCAAGGATTTTAGTTAGATTTTCTAACAACGAGCGAAAGGTTCCATCGATGATTTCGTTGATTGCGTGCATTTTCGACCTGGTTTTATCCTGGCATTATCGAGGTTCTAGCGTAAATGGAGAAGAAGGAGAGATTTCAAGCAAAGTGCAACATTTCAATTACTTGGACTGTTTAACTTAATGTTAATAATCGACCGTTCTTTTGATAATTGCGTAAGGTATTAAATCTGTGAGGACATTTCATTGCTTTTCACGCTGTTGTGCTTATGTTTCTATATATTCGTTGTCTATACTAATTCGTAATATAGTGAGCGTTATTGTGCTCGTACGTCTATGTATAATAATTTAAATACCAATATGAATTTATACGAATTTAAATGAATCATCTTCTATGTAATTTATCAATCTTTTTCCATATAAATTCGTCGTTTTTATTCTTCGTTGAGATTACGTCGTCTTCGACTTTGATATATTTTTCGTCTGCAGAGCGTAGTAGCGAATCGAAGTGGATTGTAATCAGAAGAGAAGGTTAACTGTCTTCGAGAAGAGAACAGAGGCGATAAATCATGGCGAAAGATACTAAGAGTATCGGAAATTACAATAAAATTAAGATTCTCATACAACGAGTTCCATGTAGCTGGTGTTTCTTTCTGCTGGTAACGTTTCCTTCTTTTTCTTTTTAATTGACAGTTTACATTTTCACGCGAAATGTGTCATCTATTTATTTCATTGTCGATACACAATTATCATCGATATGTATTTTACTTTTAGATTATAAATAGTTGATTGATATGTCACGTGAATTCCATGCAATTAATACTATGATATCATCGTTATACTGCGTAATATCACTAAGGTAAACTGACATATTTTGTTGTGTCGCTCTGTTATCCGCGACTGTAACCATATTAAACAATTAATATTATCAAACAAAACAAAATCCCCCATTATCTCACATCTGCATCTCATATTGTTTTACTCTCAAGCGTTGACTCGCTATCGCACGATCGGATAAACATAAGGATACTTGTTATCGAAATTGATCATTTTCTAGCAACGTTAGAAAATATGTTCGCCAATTATTCCTGACACACGGTACAAATATTCACCTCTACCTACAAAATAGCGTTTGAATTTTTAAATTTCATCCATTTGTTACCAAGTTACGATTATGCGAAGTTAACGATTTCCAATTTTGTACGTCTTCGTACGTCGACTGCATTTTTCCAACTTTCCGATCGTGTTGCCGATAAAAAAAAGATTGTATTTTCATAATTTCTTGGAACCTACGGAACAACCGTCCTACAAATATTTATGCAACCTGAGCCATGCAAAACCGTCTTCTACCATCCATCAAAATTTTGTCACCTATTTATGGGATACGTATATCATAATTATCAAACATACTTAGCCAAATAGTATTTCGATTCGATTTAAAATATGCCTAAAATGCGATAAAACGGTGGAACTCTTTTCAACGAGATAAACATTGCTCGTATAGATATCGCTGGCAGCTAAACTAAAGCAGCTTCGATGGTTAATTGCGGGTTAAATGTCGCGTTAACGCTAGTCCTCGACGAGTTAATTTGACGGGCGTCTAGCTGCAGCAACATTTCCGAATACGCGTAATCGAGCGTACAGTCGGATAAATTGGCGCAGAATTCTGTTGTCACGATACGACATCGTATCGTTTGCTTTTGCAGAAACTTCGCGTGGATCGAATACCGAGCCACCAATATAAATTCAAATAGGATAGCGGCAAGTCATCAGAGACAACAAGCTTGCCCGTAGTGGAACTACTCGCGAAAACGCGATTGATTCCCGTTTCCATTTTCCAATCGCGCGGCTCCGATCGTCGCCGGTGTGACAATGTCGCTCTGACCGACCAAACTTTCATCGTCCAGTCCTCCTTTTGCTTGTCTATCGATCCGTCAAACACATCCAACCGTTTGCCAGAGAACTCACTTTCCAACTCGTTGAAATATTTACGTCCAGTCGTTTCGTCCAGATCGCTCCATTTCTCGTACGATCTTCCTTAAAATTGTAGCCAACGAATTGTCTCTCGTAATTGAAATGATTAACGACGTTAAAACGAAATTTGTCGATACGCGGGGGTGTGGTGCTACGAAAGGCACAGGTTTCCATGGTCTTGCAACGAGACGAATCGTTTTACCAAAATTCCAAACGTACTAACGAACGAGAATTATTCCGTCGTTTCTGACAGCGCCACTGTGTCTAGTCGTAAAATTTCGTCGAGGTCTCGCTCGCCACACAATAGCAACAACGGACTTGACGTGTTTCGGGTGTAAAAGGAAAATTTCCTTTGGTTTCGCCGCGGCGTTTTACGAAACAAAGTTACGCACGAAGCGCCATATCGCTACAAGTAGCTGGTATTCAAGCGAAACGAGAATATTCAACGAGTAGGTTACCGGGGCAAATTGATACAGGCCCAGGTTCATACGGATAGAAATTATCTCGATACACTGCGCGTACCATGTACTCGATTATGTCGAATTCCGCTTATCGAATACTTACTACCACACGGTGTGTACATTTCATTTTCATCCAGTTGTATACGCAATGTCGAAATAATTATACTCTGGATCAACGTGCCCCGTGTATCAACTCGCCTAGGTCTCGCTAAACTTGATCGATCATTTTCCTTGTTCTCAGCTCGTTTCGCGATATAGAGCTCGTCTATAGTCTCGAACGAGGCTACTGAGAAACTATTTTATTACTTCAACGTCTCGTAGATTTCCGATACAAGTACTTGTAACATACCACTCGTGGATATTCCTGCGTCGAACTTGGTTTCTAGGACGCAAATTTCGTAGAAACGTTTACTTTGTAATCGAAGAATCTGCCGAAGCATTTAAAATAAATTACACTCTGTAACTGATGATTTACAGCGCAAGGAGTTCATTTTTGTCACAGGTTCTACCGCTTTGTAGTATGTTAGAATGTAGAATTGTAGCAATTGGCGATAAATTGATTTCCATGAACTGACGTCCCATTGAAAATCACGCTAATCGCGAAAGACACGTTTTCGACTTGTTCGAAAATCTAAAATTCTGTTCCTATCGATGAGCTTGTAATACATTTTTATAGCAGGCCAATGAACACGCTTTCTTCTTTTGCTTCTCAATGAACTTACGTTTTCATACGTACGATCGATGCTAAGAAACATCGTTCCTTTCGTAGCACCCGTCCCCTATCAGGAAGATTTCAGTGAAAACGACACCAAAACGCGCCATTTTTCGCTTTAAATTTATTTCGAAAACTACGCAACCAGCAGGGAAGCTGGCCGTAGGACGCGATGGAACGTACGTTTCTAAGGAGAGCGTAGAAAGAACTGAAAAATCGCGTTTTGTTTCTCGTACGAGAAAGCGAAACGGTTTGGTAAAACACGCGACGGCGACAATGTGACGTACGTATGCAGCGACGATGTACGATACTGTGCTGGAAACATAGCAATTTACAGATTCGTTTCGAGCGCGTAAAAATCTACGAGATTCGTCGATCAGAGATCGAAAGAATGTTAAAATTCGAGATGATAGTGGCGTAAGCCAGTCCACTGTTGGTCTTCGTGAAATAATGTTTCGCGTTTATCGCTATAAAATATCGAAATTTACTTCGATACCATGTGTATGTCGATTCTTATCAGAAATAAATTTCGAAACTGGCCAGTTTATTTTCCCTCTCTTTCTCTCTCTCTCTCTCTCTCTCTCTTC